ACCAGCTGGCAATAGCCAAGGAAACGGGGCGAAGGCTCGGAATGGGAACAAATATGTACCCGTCTTCATCGTTGCTCGGCCAACACAAAGATGAAGCTATTGCATCACTTCCTCTCGATGAGCTAATTGAGAAAGCCGACGGGTTTGCCGGAGTATGTCCTGGTTAGTTGTCTCGTTGTTTTACGTTTTTTTAATATACTCGCGATCCTTGTATTTTTTTTTTAATTAATTGTTTTTCTATAAAATGTGAAAATGTAGAGCACAAGTATGAAATAGTGAAGAGATTGCCCCATTTTAATAAGAAACGCCGTCGTTCCGTTGTTTCGTTCCAATCATCTTCTTCCTTTTTTTTCTTTTCACTTTATTTCTGGAGCAGCTCGACCGCGTCCTGCTTCTTTCTTTTCGTTTTATTTTTATTCTGCTTGCCATGAAACGACGTCGTTTGGAATACCCCTCCCACTTCACTTACCTTCCTCGCCTACTATTGTTGACCTCCTTCTGGCCCTCCACGTCTTGCTTTCGTGGATGTCGTCTCACCGCTGCTCCATTTCTCACCAGAAAACCTCGGGCCGTCCACTTGCCCCGCACCACAATACTTTCCGTTTCAATCTCCATAATAAAACATTCAAATCTCTCCAAATACCACTCAAAACCCTCCTCAAATCTCTTCTGTTCTTACTGGAAAACTCATGTTAGGCGTACTGATTCTAATTATGTATCTATCTTGTCTGTGCTTTTTTCTTTTGTTTTCGTTTAGGGTTTTTGTAGTTCTGATTCTAATTTGGTGGTCAGTTCAGATTTGCAAATTGCGCCGTAAAAGAGGCTTGAAGACTGTGTTTATTAGAGGAGGGTCTGGTGGTTCTGTTAATTCCGGGCCTAGCGCAAATATTCATGGCTCCGGTGGTGGTGGTGTGATGCACTAATGGTTTTCTATTTTTAGTTGATAATCAATTATTTTTGTAAACTCATTTTTCTATGTTTTTATGCGATCGCAGAATACGTTGATTTTGAGAGCGATTCCGAGGTTAAATGAAATCGGAAAGGCTTTATTAGGTAATTCAATTAATTTATCTTTTAAAAAATTATTGGTTTAAAATAATGTCTCCCTGATTTATTGGGAATTTAGTTTGAAATATGAGGAGGTACTAAGCTATTTCTGATGATTATCTTATTCTGCTGTTTAAAAAATTTGCTTCTGAAGTAAATTCTGAGCGATCGTTTGTTCTTCAGCTAACGATAATTTGATTGTAGGAACTGTTGCTGAGCAAGTCATGCTTCTGGAGAATATAGGGACATCTGTTCTTGTTTCTGGAAATCAGGTTTAGTACACGATACAAGCTCTTAATTCGTTCTGTTTATACTAATATTCGTATCAAATTATGGATGCATTAAATGTTTGAACTTCTGTTTTATGATACCTCTGGGAGTCTGAGTACTGTGTAAATATATTTATTTTTTGATTCAATTTGCGGCAATTGTTATATTCTTTTAGATATTACTCGTATAACTGTGTCTGTTTTGTTTGTATAGCTCCCTGAACTTTCATGCATTGATGGTAGAGGCTGCCAGTATACTGAACATTGACGCGCCCGACTTATATTTGCGCCAAAGTCCTGTGCCTAATGCATATACTTTGGCTATCAGTGGGAAAAAGCCATTTGTTGTCGTTCATACAAGCTTAGTGGAGCTTTTGTCAAGAAAGGAATGGCAGGTACTAAACCTTACTTCTGGTAGTGCTTGAGTTGTACTTTAACCTTTATTTGCTGTATCACATACAGGCTGTTTTGGCACATGAATTGGGTCATCTGAAGTGTGACCACGGTTTATGGCTCACGTACGCTAATATTCTTACTCTTGGAGCATATTCTATACCCGGTAAGATCTTGTTTTTCGTTGGTCGGCCTGAGTCAGTTCTACAATTATGGTTGGGGGTTGTTTAGTGTTTGTTCTACTAGACAACAAATATCGTATTTTTTTCTCTTCGTTCCAATAAAAGTTGTACCCATACGGAATTTTTATGTTTCCCCGTGTGATCTCTATGATCACCTCTATTCCCTTTTATCAATTCGCCTACATTAAGAACTATTAAGACCATCGACTATATTTCACAAGCTCTTTATTCATAGGCCTTGGCGGTTTGATTGCTCAGCAATTAGAAGAACAGCTCTTCCGTACTTGTGATAGGGCCGCCCTTCTTGTTGCTCGGGACCCAAAGGTAGATAGATAGTATTGAGATTAATCTATTGCCCTTTTGATATCAAACTATTGTTATTATTATTTATTATTATTATCTTTTAATCATCTTACACGTGCTCTCGCCACAAGAGGTTGTCATCTCCGTTCTGATGCAATTAGCTGGTGGCTGCCCCTCTATGGCTGACCAATTAAACGTGGATGCCTTTTTTGAGCAAGCTCGATCTTATGAAAAGGCTTTTTCTAGCCCAGTTGGGTGGTATATAAGGTCAGCCAACTCATCTTGCTATGCAAAAATAATATAATTAAAAGATGCTATCTTGCTATGTGGATGTTAAAATATGGTAGATGCTTTAACTTGTTCAACTCTGCTCAGAAATGCTCAAACGAGGCATCTTTCCCATCCTCTCCCGGTTCTGCGTGCACGTGAGATTGATGAATGGTCCAAAAGTCCAGAGTATCAATCTCTTCTAAAGCGTTTGTAGTGGGTCAACTCAGTGCAAAATGTATAACGTTGGATTTTTGAACTATTCCAGAGTCTTTTGTACAGGTATAGGGTGAAGTTTCCGAACCCCTGTTATCTGCTTAAATTGGATATTAAAACTTTTTCGATCTTATTATGTGAAGTTGATAAATTTGTCCATTTTGTGCGACATGTGCAGATTCTTGAAGCAAGATTGATAAACATGGAGCTGCACGAAGTGTTACACTGTTACTCAATTTGAGTAATGTGGGTTTTAAGTTAATAGAATAGAATATTACAGGGGTTATTACTCCATAGATACAGCATACAGGTTGGGGTTCTCCCCATGAGTTTGGATCAATTATAGTGAACATATTGAACAATGTTATTCCTGATATTTCTGTACACGATATTACATTGTATATAATATGTTACGAGTCTTACCTTGCTGGAGGAGCTGGAAGTAGCTTGGCATTCAGTGTGGAGAACCCGTCGTCATTTTTTTCACATGGAATTAGTTGCATTGCTGTAGTGCCAAGTGGGTCCCGCTCGGGTGCAGAAACAGTGAGGAAGATGAGGGGTAGGCCTAGAAATATATACCCGATAGAGCAGCTAATATGTCGTTAGGGCTGTCCCCTGTTTCTGCCGCCACTCCATCATCTGAGTGGATTGCCTCGGGGGAGAGAGCACGAAAGGAGCGGCCGTCTGGCACATGGTCGAAACAGAAACTCGCTCCTCTTTGTAAGTTTTGCTCGAGAGTAAATTGATGTAGAACTGAAGTAATCCTAATGTGTTATTTTCTTTCAAAATGCGATTTTTGTTGTCGGAAGTACGAGTCTTTAGGGGATATTGCCTTTCGTTTTCCTCTAAATGCACATGTTTCAGTATTCTTATCGATTTAGTTATCGTAAGTTCGTAACCTTCGTCAGTGTGATGTAAAGAGAAAATAATTATCTTTAATCAGGCGAATGGATGAACACGTCAGCGGGACTAGCATTTACACCACATGTACTACACGTTAGAGTCGGAGAGGTACGTTTGTTGCATTCCCTAATTAATTATCTTGATTTTATTCGATATTCCGTCAATTTGCAATAGTATTTTTTATGTTGCAATTATTAATTTCTAAGTCATGTACAAGATATTACGGCAAAAATACTGGCATTTGCACGACAGCGACCGAGATGTTTATGCATCATGTCAGGTAGTGGAGGAAGTTATCCTCTTACTTTGACCTGCAAATTACAAGATTACAAGAACAAGGTTCTTGGTAGTGATTTTTCCTCTTTGTTTTCTTGACATGCCCCTACCAATAGCTGAGATCAATGTGCAGGCTAAGGTATATGTCTTCAATGCAAAAGTTAGGTATTTGTTCTTACAAGATGATCTGATCAAAATACTGAAAAAGCAAGATTGATTGTTTTCTGGAATAACTATTTTTTCGCTTTAATTTTCTGCTAAGTCAGCATATTATATTTTCCAAACAAAATGCCTGCTGAGGAATATCCATATATGATTCTGGTGAGAATTCAACCAATCCTCTGCTGCATGGTGCTGTTCATTTTTTTTGGGGTTGGGTTTGGGTTTGGGTTTACGATTTGTTCGGTCAAACTTTTCCCTGTTATTGACATTTCAATTTCTCTTTACGGATTGGATTAGTTTTACGGCCGTTTTGTTAGTCACTTTTTATGTTTTTCTACCTTTCTGAATTCTTTTATTATTTGCTGGTAGAATTAACTTAGGGGCTGATATTTTACACTATTTCCTTTTGGATTTGGCATTTGGCCATCAGTACTTTAATTATTACAGAAATCCGAGGTTCTTGAAGACACCGATGATTGTTAACGGAGCTGGGAATCGTCACCACGGAGGGGAGAAGGCCTTTTGCAGTCCAGAATGTCGGTCTAGGCAAACCTCGATTGATGAACAGAGCGAGAGGTCGCGTCGCTCTGCGGCGAAGAAGAAGAGGGAGTACTCTGTTTCGCCCTGCTCTGGTAAACTTGAGTTTATAGCAAAAAATATAATAGAAGATTCAAATGTTCCACTATTATATTGATGTTTCCGGGGACTATTATATTGATGTTTCTTGTTGGCATTTATTTTTTACAGCTGCTCTTATTCGGGCGACTGAATTCTGAGATGGAGTAGCTTTGTGCGTCCGACGACTTCGTCAGCCGTTGGAGTTGTTTATACTTGTTTGATTTCTGCCTCGTATATTTCTGTTTTTTTCTTACGATTTATTTTGGTTCGTTTACGTTTTCTAATCTGTTTTGCTTATTTGAATTTAATGCCCTTTTGCTATTTAGATGTTTGTAGAAATTGGACTTAGTCCCGGTGAAAAAAAATGGGGGGAGCTTGTTCGAGCGCCAGGATTTATAGACCTGGGATTCTCATTAACTTAATGACTTCTTGTTTCTGTTACTCTATGTACTTTATTTGTATTGAATCTATTTTTTTCAGTTCCGAGATTAGGGATGTTTATTGTGCTCAAAATTTTGATTATGAGTTTTTTTTCAATATAGGGATGCCGATGTTGGTTTCTTCGGCAGCCACCATCAGGTTCGCTCAATTTTTATCCACATGACTTTTTTCTTTCCGTTCACTTTAATCAAGCCCCATAACATCCCTCTATAATTCTTGAATTCTGTACTCCTTGACCGGCGGCATCTCTTCGGCCCCATCTCGATGCATATGGGTTATAAAAACGCAGAATCGATGCATGTTTATCGTTTTCTGTGGTTTATATAAGAAGTTTATTATTTGTTTGTGTTTACCTTTTCATTTGTTATAGGTTGCTGATTGAGTTTAGGCCATTTTTAGTTCTGCGGGATTTTTACAGAAATTTTGGACTGATATACATTTATCTTTGGATGTCTGTAATTTTAAATTTGTATTACAATTCTAGGTTGAAATTTTTGAACCCTTTTGTCTCCTCATTTGATGTAGAACGCACAAGAGAATTTCCAAACGGGAGAAAAGAGGCACGAAGAAAGCGCAAGTATTTATTATCTTTTACAGTATTATGTTATTTTATTTTTTCCATTTTACGTGATACTTGTGGTTCCTTCATTACATTTTTGCAGCCTATTATTTTGGATTGACCTGTTTGCCTAAAAGGATTGGTATGACGTTAATGCCTCATCTGTTGTTTATAATTATTCGGTTTCTTTATCATATGAGGTTGTGTTTTTTTTTTCTTAATTATTTGTGGAATAGTCAACACTTGTTGAGCTTGATGCAGGTGCTTTTGTTTGTTGTCTTTCTGGAATGAAAATTCAGCACGAGTCATTTGAGCAACAGATGTTTTGTTCTATTAAATATCTCGGTATATTTATCTTATCAAGTTCAATTGAATTTATTTTAGTAAACTTTTGCTAATTTCTGATGTTTTTATGTGTGCAATGCAAAAGAACCAGCAGCTGACGGGGGAGTAGGAACAAGGTAAGTGAGAAGTTATGTGTGGATGATCAACTGCTTTGGCGTTTGTGCAGTGTGATGTTATTTTTTGAAACTTGGTCTTCCTATCGTAAATTATATCTATTTTGTAAGCATGCTCCTTATCTCATGTTTTTGGTTTTTGTTTCGGTTTCGGTTTTAGTTTAGGCGATGTTATGTGATTTGTAGATTGGTTCAACTTCGGTGTTGTTTAGAAGCGAACATATGTTTTGGGCTCTGTGTTTCATGTCTACTTAAATTTACGATTTTGTTGGATGCCATATATGCCTTCTTTTTAATATGTAACTTGCATAAATACACACTGGAAGTTGTTTTTGTTTTGTAAGCATGCTCCTTATCTCATGGTTTCGGTTTCAATTTCGGTTTAGGTTCGTTTTTGGTTTAGGTTCATTTTCGGTTTCGGTTTTGGGAAATTGAATTGCTTTTCACCTGTTGCCCGTGGGTTCTCCCTTCCCCTTTTCTTCTTTTCGTTTTCATTATATATATTAAAAGATTTGCAGTTTTGAGTTCTTTTGTGTGGGTTACGTCTATGATGGATTTTCGTATGTGTGTATGTATGCGGCATTTTATGTGTGCAGGCATATTACATTGTCCAGGCATATTACGTTGTCCTTGTCCAGTTACAGAGATTTGGAAATTGTCTGCTTTGCAGAGTGGTCCATTACAAGACAAATTCCTGCAGTACCCCTTCACTAACTTCGTAGCTAAAACAGGCCACAGATGTATTTATTTGTTTATTTCAATCATTACGCTACTGTTTTCGTAAGTGTAGCTATTACCTACCGTTAATGTCATATACAATGGCTGCCTTCATTGACAAAAATAGAGTTTAGCGTAAACGAGATAGCTTATTTCTCGTCCTTTTACAATTTATACCAAGCAATATGGGTATTGTAAAATTGTCTTTATTTCTTAAAACCTCCCAACACATTTGGAGTTTTTCTCTGTTACTCTTCTTTCTGATTTGCAAGACCACAGGTTGAATTAGCTTTCCATTTCGACTGGGTTATCTTCGGGATAATTACACTTTTCGTCCCTATACTTTGCCACTTACACGATTTTCGTCCCTAAACAAGATGAAGTTACAATTTTCGTCCCTAAACATGTCACTTTTATGCCGTTTCTGTCCCTCCGTCCATTTGTCCAGTTAGTTTGGACGGAAAATTGCACGTGCGCCGCACGTGACACACAAAAACACCCCACTCCCCCTCATAATGTTCAGATTTTCAGAATATTTCATAAATATCCAAATTCTCGGCCAAATCCTAAGCCCAAATTTTCGAAGCAAGAGTTGTGCGTTAACCTTCTGTACAACTTCATTTTGCAACCGAAATTCTCTGCAACGAAATCTCTGAGGATGAGGGCTTCTAAAATAGCTCTTGTTTGTAGAGCAATTACTGCTAAATCTTCTCATGAACGCGGTATTTTTACTTCTTCTTTCTCTTTCTCCTGCCACAAATTTTCAACTGTGCCCAGGACAGATTCAATTTGTATAAATGAATTAGATGATACTGTTTTCTTGATTCGTAAAATGATGAGAATGCGGCCACGGCCCTCCGTTTTTGAACTCACCAAACAATTGCAAGTTATTGTCAAGATGAAACAATACTCCGTCGCCCTTAAACTGTTCGACGAAATGCGTCAATGGGGTGCCCCTGTAAATGTATACACGATGAACATCTTGATTAATTGTTGTTGCCATTTGAGATGGGTAGACTTCAGTTTTGCTGTCTTTGGCAGCTTCCTTAAGCACGGTTACGAACCAAATGTTACGACATTCAACACTCTCTTAAAAGGTCTCTTTTTAGATGGTAATGTGGCCGAGGCGGAGAAATTGTTCAAGAAGATTTTGACTTTGAAACTCTGTGAGCCAGACGATGTTACGATTCTTACTGTGATTGACGAGCTCTGCAAAGCTGGACGTGTTCATACTGCCCGTGATTTGCTTTTGTTGTTGGAAAAGACTATCTATAAACCCAGTGTTAAGGCCTATAGTGCGGTAATTGATTGTTTATGCAAGGGCGGAATGGTGGATAATGCACTCGAGCTCTTGTTTGCCCACTTTCTAATTGTGCTTTCAATGATGAATTCATAAGGAATTGAGAGGTTTCGAAAATTGGGGCTTAGGGTTTTCCGGAGAATTGGGGCTTAGGGTTTCTAAAAATCTGAACGTTTTGAGGTGTAGAGGTGCTTTTGTGTGTCACGTGCGGCGCACGTGCGATTTTCCGTCCAAACTAACTGGACAAATGGACGGAGGGACAGAAACGGCATAAAAGTGACATGTTTAGGGACGGAAATTGTAACTTCATCTTGTTTAGGGACGAAAATCGTGTAAGTGGTAATGTATAGGGACGAAAAGTCTAATTATCCCGTTATCTTCCTTTTGTTGCTTATTTTTGTTTTCCATAAGCTTGCAGCTCCACTTTGTCCTCTACTTCATCTTTTAGGGTGTGCGGGGTATTAATTTTCTCAATTTATTTTCATCGAATTACCGCCGCTGTTTGTGGCACCACTTCTTTTCATCTGTGTATCATGTGCCTTATTGTCGATTTTAGTATACCCTTCCTTTAGTAGCTCTACCTTTATTTCCAGAAATACAAATTGGCCCCCACTTGGGGGTATTACCGGTTTAAGGACCAAAATTTAAAACTATATATAATATACGGAACAAAACTGTAACTATCCGATGTTCATTATAAATAATATAATAAATTAACGTTTTCTTAAATCGTAAATCGTAAAATTTTATCGATTTGTTGATATTTAAGATTTATTATATCATTTGAATCAACCAACTTAGGTATGAATGTATTGAATCGTGTGTGTGTGTATATATATATATATAAATTTAACCTCAAAGCGGATCTCTCTTGAAATATCCGAAATGTCCACCACCAACACAGTGTGCTTCTACCGACTCCTCACCTATAATCGTGTTTGACTCATTTACGAAAATTCGCAATTCTGAGTTTAAAATCTTATGACTTACGATTCAAATCTTACGGTTCATTTCGTTCATACCTAAGTCGATTCAAAGTTCAAAAAAAATCTTAAATATCAACAAATCGATCAAATTTTGCGATTTACGATTTATGAAAAAAATAATTTATTATATTATTTATAATAAACTTGTGATAATTACATTTTTGTCCCTATATTATATACCATTTTTAATTTTGGTCCTTAAACCGGAAATGCCCCCCAAGCGGAGGTCAATTTGTAATTTCAAAAAATCCACCTCCCTGGCTCAAACAGTTCTGAAAATTGCAGAATCACCCTTATACTTACTCCATCTTCTTATCCGCTCCACCCAAATTGCAATTTTTTCCCCAAAAGTTGATCTCTCTTTCAATATCCAAAATATTCGCTACATTTACGAGAATTCGCAATGCCGAGCATAAAACCTTATGATTTACGATTAAAATCTTACGATTCAAGTCATTCATATCTATGTCAATTCAAATGTTAAAATAAATCTTAAATATCAACAAATCGATCAACTTTTACGATTTTTGGTCCCTATATTATATACCTATTTCGCATCGCACGCGCCGTCATTCAGATAGCCTTTAACGGAAGGAAGAAAAATTAACTCCTGATTAATGAGCTTTCGTTAACACAAAAACGAGTTTATATTTTGACAATCATTTGTGCACTAGCAAATTCCCTTGTTTCTAAGGGAGTGGATCGGACCCCCAACACCCTCCGTAGACAACTTCAAATCGTCACTTCCCATTGCCACATTCGACACAAATTTTGCCTAATCGTAAAAAAAAAATAACAAAATGCAACCTAAAAATCGATATATGAAAGTATGTCGAAAATACATAATACGATAAGTTCTTGTATTCACCCGAGGCACCGGCACCGCGCATTGCGCGGTGCCCTACACTAGTATATATATATATATATATATATATATATATATATATATATATATATATATATATATATATATATATATATATATATATATATATATTATTCTTCTTCTTCTTCTTCTTCTTCTTCTTCTTATTATTATTATTATTATTATTATTATTATTATTATTATTATTATTATTATTTTTATTATTAACTAAATAGTAAATAGTCTATAATAATAAATATATCTAGTATTTAAATAAAAACAAATCTATATTACTTAAAAAATTCATAATAATATAAAATATAATAATAATAATAATAATAATAATAATAATTATAATAATAATAATAGAAAAAATAAAAAAATATATATAACTAGAGTTCATTATTTATTTTATAATTGTTTTTTTATTTTCCTATGAGTAATTTTTAATAAAAAAATGATTTTAATAAAAAAAAAAATTAAATAAGCTCGAGCTCGAGCTCGAGCTCGCCAAAATTGGCTCGAGCTCGACCTGGCCAAAAGAGTCGAGCTCGGCTCGTTCCCACCCCTAGCATGAAGCACGCAACAAACTTCCTTTTCCCATCCCTTTTTTTTTTTACTATTAATTTTTTTAAAACAATTTATTGTGGGCCCCACCATTAATGTTTTTGTAGGACAAACATATGACTATCAAAGACATCTTCTTCCAAATTAATGAGGCTACGAACAACAAAACCCAAACGATCTCCCAATTTTTATTTTTTTTAATTAATAACTTGAAAATTTCCTTTGGAACATAAATCTCACTCTCCAAATATAGTGATTTATACGAAGAAAAGAAATCTTTGCCTTGTGAAATTTCCTCAACAATCTTTATTGCTTTCTTGATCAATAATTCGAGAGAAAAATATAAAAGGAGCCTTAGTAGTAGTCTTTATTCTTCATTCACGTATTGCATAAGCAGTAGACATCTCTTCCTTTCTTCTCGTAGTATTTTGGTTGATCAAAAGGTAAGATTTGTCCCAAGTTAACACGAACAATCATCTTGAAGAGCAACGCACACAACGTGTTAGTGAATTAGACTCAATGAAAAAAATAAATTCCAAATTGCCGTTTATATCTGAATTTGCATTCAACTTTCTTCTAGCAGAATTTATCATCATTCCCCTTCCTGCTTCTTGCTTCTTATCTCTTTTTTTTTTTTGATAATCTTTAGGGAACTCGTGGAGATGTACATCGGAGATAGAGATGAATCTTTCCTATGCATCGTTATTCGCACTGATAAGGACAACTTCAAAATTAAAGGTACAACCTTGCGCGTTCATGAACCGGCTTCAAACTGGCCATCTTCCCAGTCACGATCTATCGAAAAATCCATGCACCTCTCCAATTTGTCCGAGGAGGCCACTAGGGAAACAATTGACTCTCTTTCCGGCTCTTCTTCCCGCTCACGAGTCTTGCTGTTGAGGTCCTCACTTCACGACGAAAAAGCTAAACATGTGGATTTTATACTCGCACATCGTCCTTTCTCATTCAAGGGAGGCTCGTGGAAGATTCCACTGTCCAACTTCGGAGAGGTGTCCTTTTACGTCGGCTATTGGGAGTGGACGGAAGACGTGCTAGGCCATTATGCGGACACCCTTCGCCAAGCCAAGATATATGCAGCCGTTCATGCCTCGCTATTCACGTACGTCTACAACAAAAAGGTTCTTCGAGCTTTCCTTTAACTATGGTGCCCTTCTACGAACACATTGCACACGACCAATGGAGAATTATCGATCTCCCTATGGGACATACGCGGACTGTGCGGGCTGCCCATTCATGGAGACTTCTACGACGAAGTGGTTCCTTCAGCGAAAGAGCTCCTCAATAATGACTCTGGTGGAATTTCCTTACCTCGTAGTTGTAAATACTTATTCATGGCTTACCACAGACTTTCAAAGGATTCCAGTGGCATACTACTCTCCGATTGGATTGACTTTTGGTTCAAAGGACCATCCAGATATAGCGAGCCTCCTTTAAGGTTATCAAGAAAGAGGACTTCTAGGACAAAACTTTGTCGCAGTCCTTGTGGAAAGGTCGATGCGTCAAAGTTATCTCGCCCCAAGGAATAAGACCTACCGTTTGCAACACTCAAAATCGAGGAAGACATTACAGAAGAAACTTACTTGGCCGCCTTCATTGCATGTTGGCTTTGTAGTTTTTCTCTCCCTCATGGATCAATTGATAAGATACGCGCCTCTGTTTTCAAGGTTTCAAATCAAATGGCTAGAGGAGAATATTTTTTGTTGGCAGATCCTATACTAGCGAGCATCTACCGCGGCTTAAGGGGAATATCTACATCAGAGAATCTAGGCGAGTCTCCTATTACCTTCCCCATTCACTATCTCTATGCATGGGTAGGACATACTCTCGAGACCCACTTTCATTCCAAACTCGAGATAATCGGCGCTCATATGGTGAAATATACGGGAGAGAACATGGCTAAACATTTTGATCTCGATGAGGCACGTGACTTGTTTCATAATATCAATATGTCAAAGCTCCGAGACTTGTGGTATTCCAATCAAGAAACTTTAGTCACAGATGATGCCAAACTCTCCAGCAAATGAAAAAATATTCTTGTGGATTTGCGATCCAGCTATTTGACCTTCCGTTGTGAAGCAGAACATATCATTGAAGCATACATTCCTAATAGATTCAGCCGCCAACATGGTTTTTGCCAAAGCATTCCGGATGACTTAAAGAAAAAGATATTGACTTGTGAGTTGCATGAATTCATCCGATTTTGGATATCTTGTACTTTATTGGGTACATCCTCTAAGCTTATTATGCTAAGTGACACATCTTCCTTTCCTTTGGTGACAAAAGAATGTACAGAATGGTGTGAAAAAAGTTGGAAAACTTCTTTAGGAGCAAACACTAAGTTATCACTCAATCTTGTTCACACTATTCAAAGAACTTCAGCAAAAGCCCCAAAGAACCTTATGTTTCTTCATCTATCGGAAAGGGAAACATCGCGCAAGCTGCGGAGACTTCTACTAGGAAGCGGCGTATTTCTCTTGATAAAGTGGCCTCTAATCCTACATTTGAAGCTATTCATGGTGAAGGGAATGAGATCATCTCCGCGCTTTTACCTTTGACCGACAAGTCAAGCAACCAATGTCCATCGAAAGAGACATCCAAGGTTTTTACTTAGCCATTGCAAATTCCTCATTTTTTTACGTCGTGCTCAGTTCTTCATTGCCTTTAGACAGATCAGTAAAATAAATCATCCTATTTTTCTTTATTCATTTTTTTATTATTTTTTTTTCTCATTTTTTTTAGCTTCTCGATTTCGAAGAGGGTGTTCGTCTTACTTCTGAGGTGAGCTTGGGGTCGGTAAACGAGGCCAACTTTTTGGGTTTACATGAAACGGATGCCACCTCACGTCCTCAAGACAAACGGCAGAAAACAACTTCTCTTGCAGTGGAGAGGATTTTTACCAGACAACAAAAGACAGTTTCTCCCGTTCCCGCAATCGAGAAGGCATATGTTGAGGTCTCCGAGTTTTATCCTCAGATCATCAAAAGTGTAGCTGAAAGAGTACTTTAGAATTTCTATTGGCAAAGGATTTCCCAAATGATCATGAACACTTCATTTCAACAACTTTTCGAGGTAAGGCCAACAATCAAGAAAGTGCTCAAAGACATGCAAGCTTACATGAAATATATATCACCCTTGGAGAAACGCTTGAAGTCATATTTCGAAGATGTTTCACAATACACAAAGGTCAAGTCGGATTTCATGCAGAGAGAGCCACAAGAGATGCACGAGAAGTCTCTTTCGCTTGCACAACAAGATCTTTTTGAGGCTGAACTGCAAGAGAATGAGCTCGTCGAGACGGTGAATAACGTGAAGGCTGAAATTCTTGAAATCCCCAAGCAACTAGAAGAGCTCAGGAACAAGAAAAAATCAGCAAGTTCATCCCTTGGTAAGGTCGAGAAGGAGATTTGGCCAAGGTCCAGCAGGTTGTGACTATGAAAAGAGAGAATATTTCCCGTCTTGGGAACACACCATTCTTATCTAACCATGAGGTGGAAGCTTTGGAATAGATGGAAGTGCTACTTGAAGAATCTCGACGGGAACTAGAAACTTTTGATTTGTTCTCTTAGGTGCTTTCGAATTTTTTTTATTTTTTTATGTCATTTTACTATCTTTCGATGTAAAAGAATATTCCATCTTTTTATGCAATAGAATTTTCTCTTGCTTCTCATAAGTCCTTATTATCGTCTTGGCATCCCTCTTTCATCTTTATGTAGCAAATGAAAACTTTGGATGATTACATCGTGCACACTTTTGGATCCGCCTGATAAATTGGTTACCTTAAAAGAAAATTAACCAAACTTGCTTAGTATAAACGTAGTTACAACGAATATTTTTTTTTGGTTTGACTGAACTTCGAATATGGGTCTAAGCTACCTAGGTACCCTCCTCAAAGGGATCAAGTCATAATGTAGTTCAAGCGAACAACTTAGAACAATATTTTTTCTTTTTTGTTTTTTGCTTTTTTTTTTTTTGACTGAACTTTGAATATGGGTCTAAGCTGCCTACATACCCTTCTCAAAGGGATCAAGTCATAACGTAGTTCAAGCGAATAACTTAGAACATCCTTTTTTTTTGATTGAATTTAGAATATGGGTCTAAGCTGCCTACATACCCTCCTCAAAGGGATCAAGTCATAACGTAGTTCAAGCGAACAACTTAGAACAACCTTTTTTTTTGACTGAACTTAGAATATGGGTCTAAGCTGCCTATGTACCCTCCTCAAAGGAATCAAGTCATAACGTAGTTCAAGTGAACATGCAACATCAATTCCCCATGTTCTTTTCCTCGAAGGTAGATGTTCCTTCAAGGTTAGTAACGGCTTCAAGAATTTGCCATTTAAAGGGCCAATTCGTAATCCATCATTGTCCACCAACTTGTAGGCACCGCTAGTGCAAGCCTCCTTCACTACATAGGGGTCGTCCCATTTAGACGTGAATTTGTTCCCCATTCGTTGGGTGAGGGTAATTGGCCTTCTTACTGCGACAACTAAATCTTCAACTTGAAATGATCGAGGGCGGACCTTTTTATTGAATACTTTAGACATGCGGGCTTGATAGAATTCAAGTTGTTGCTGAGCTTCTAATTTCTTCTCATCTAGTGCCTCCAGCTCCTCAAGTCTAAGACGAGCATTATCTTCGGCGGTTAGCCCTTCTTGTACAACAATACGAAGCTAAGGTATTTGACTTTCAAGTGGAAGGATAGCTTCTACCCCATAAACCAAGGAGTACAGAGTGGCTTGATTTGTAGTCCAATATGTCATTCTAAATGCCCATAGAGCTTCCCCAACCCTCTCGTGCCAATATTTCTTTGACTTTTGAAACTAATTTCTTCAAAAGATTGCACAAAGTTTTGTTGAACGCCTCTGCTAGACCATTCACTGCCGCATTATACATTGAGGACTTGTGTTGCTTAAACCCAAATTGCACACATAGTTTATCCATCGATTTGTTGTAAAATGGTTTTACATTATTGGTAATGATTCATCGAGGTATTCCATATCTAAAGATAAGATGGGAATGAATGAACTCGACCACCGTTTTCTTCTTCACTTTCTTCAAAGGAACAACTTCCGCCTATTTGGAGAAGTAGTCAGTAGCTGCCAGTATATAAGCGTGACCTCCGGACGACTTAGGAGAAATAGGTCCCACGACGTCAAGACCCCACAAATCAAATGGCCATGAGGCGACTGTAGGATGTAAGGGCTCCGGAGGTTGGTGTATGAAGTTCGCGTGTAGTTGACAAGCTTCACATCTCCTTGCATAATACAAGCAATCTTTGACCATTGTAGGCCAATAATAGCCCATTCTTTTAATTTGAAAGTGTAGCTTCGGACAGGACTGATGAGCACCACAAACTCCGGAATGTGCTTCCATCATTGCTTCAGCCGACTCCTCACCGTACAAACAACGCTGGTAATTTCCTTCAAAAGACCGACGATAAAGCGTATCCTTGTAAAGAATGAAACGCAGCGCCCTTTTTCTTACCTCCGTCTTATAATGAAGAACTTCCCCGGGTAACTCTCCATTTTTCAAGTAATTGATCAATGGTTTTCTCCAATCTAGATCATCCTTGATTGAAATTGATTTAGCGTTAGCATCTTCATGACTGACTTCAATGAATGATGGTACAATCTAACGATTACACACAGGAACACTCGTTGTCTCTTCTTCCGACAAAGCTAAAATGGTTGCTAGATTAGCTAGCGCATCGGTCATCCTAACACGACCTTTTCAAATTTCGCCACCAAGTTCGAAGCGTGTTGACACAAAGGAATAAGGTCTTCTTTCCTAACCTCGTATACTTTCAAAAGTTGGTTGATAAACAATTTCGAGTCACCATAAACTTCAATCTCCGTAATATTCATTTCTAAAGCCATTTCAAGACCAATGATCAAAGCTTGATACTCGGCGACATTATTGGAGCAGAGCTCGCCCAGTACCACCGAGATGTCAAAACTTGTTTATCGGGTGACACAAAAACAACTCCTGCCCCCAATCCATCAGACCGGGCGGCCCCATCAAAGAACATTTCCCATGTCGGAAGAACTTCGGTAAAGAAAATGTCTTCATCAGGGAAGGTCATCGGATAACTCCCACTCCGCCAGAATAGGGTGGTCGGCTAGAAAATTAGCTAGTGTCTG